TAGGGACTGTTTCTGCGCAGCCACATGAGTGCAGTGTGAACGCATGCTCTATGTTTGTGTGCACACAGTCGCTGCCTGCGGCCTACGTGTTCGAAGCTGCTTCATTCATTTCTCGGGCAATTAGCAGTCAAGGCTTGTCTAGGTTCAGGGGTGCATGGTCCTGCAACAAAGCCACGACACTGCATTTCAGCTTGTTTGCAAGGTTAAGCTTCTTGGGCTTTGGGTTACTTCGGGTGTATTCTAGTTCAAACACCTTTAGATGCGATGTAAACTTATATAGCAGGAGAATACATGCAACTTTTCAAACTGAGTTCTACTTACTGTCTTGGAAAAGATTTGCTTCACATGTGGCTGGCTTTAGAATGGCTATGGCACTGCAATCGCAGAGCATAGCTGCCATGATCCGCAAGCTTGCTTATGTGGATGCTCCTAAAGTGCTTTCCTCAGTTTCAGCTTGATCGATGGACTAGTGGTGCTCCTTGAGTTGGTTAATCTCAAAACTACGTAAAGACCCAATCACTTAACTTCTTCACACTTTCTTAACCAATCCCCATCGAATGTATCTCCTCCATCCAGGTTCTGATGGCAGCGGTCATCCTGTTGTCCTTCGCGACCAATGTAGACACCTTCGCTGAGGCTGGAAGTTCATCCGACAGGTCTGAAGCTTGGTTAAAGGTGCCCTGTCTATGGGAAGGTGGTATGTGTAGTGGGACAAGCTATGAGTGTGTTGGACCTCCACATGTGTAGAAGTGCGCTGTGATGCAATCGATGAGCAGGATAGCGCTTGCCGTTCGAACTGCCGATGCTGTCATGTGAACACACGCTTAAATGCGAACACTATAGTGCATGCAGGCCTACAGCTGCGTGGAGTTGTTTGCGGGAAAGGCCTGGGTCAGCCGCTGCTTCAGATTGGGCGGGCTTCCTACAGCGTCACTGGATGTCCAATACGGTGCCTCTCTTCCGGATTTTGCTTCGCGGGCCATGGATCTAACCACGACTGCTGGAATGTCGCTACCGAACTGCCATAGTCAAGGCTGTCATGCATGTATGTATAGATGTATTTGATATAATCCTAGTTTGCCTGCTGCACATTGAAAAGCTCTGACTGTGTGGCCCAGGTTGGCCATTGCTACAATTCTGTCTGGACGACAGGATCGGTTCCTCCTGGTTGCAGGGCCCGTTTGTGGCTCTTTCGTGGTAGCAAACTCAGGAACTCACGGCAGGACATTATCGGACCCGCTGGGGCGGGACTGGTTTCCATCTGTTCGTGCCGGAAATATGCTTGCTTCTCGGAACCTCGGGTGCATATTGTGCTTACCAATTAAGCACATGTTCCCTGACCTGAACACTCGATTAGATCTTGGGTTCTACTTGGCTCTAGGAGGGTCCATGGTTGTGTGGGGATGATCCATTCTAGGGGCCATCTGCTGTGAGTCAATAAAACTTTGGGCTAGGTGTCGTAGAAAGTCACAGAATGGACTGTTTCTGCAATTGAGCTTCAGTTGGAGTGAATCCTGGGGCCCTGTGACGGGTTTTTTCAAATGTCTTTTCAGGTTCGGTTTGTCTGTCGTTGCATGAATACAACTTCCGGCTTCACCGACGAGATAGCATCATTGGCTCTCATCTTCAGGTACAGTAATGCAGTGCTGAATCAGCAGCCAAACATTTAAAGTCCGTTCAGAATGTTTCTAGATACCTTTATAGCCTATATAGGCATACTTCGCAAACCACGATACCTAAACGACTGGGAGCTCGACCTCATCTTGTACCCGTGCCTGCTGAAAGCCCTATTAATTGTAACCTGGAAGTACGCACCTTAAAACCCTGAGCCCTCGTTTGCCTTCTGAGTGTTCCCGAGTCGTCCGCACCAATTTTCCTCCTGAAGGACCAAGTAAGCTTTGCTGGGTGGGTAAATTAGACTTCCGAGACTTGCTTGGGGTATCGGAGCTTAATACATTGCTGGGTAAGTCACTGAGGCATGGTTCGGTCAGGATGCAGGCAAGGATTCAATCCCCACGTAAGATTTTCTAGATGTCGAACATTGCACTAGTCTTCGTTGCTAGGTATGTGTGTGTATATATATATAGAGTCAACCTATCACAGCAGCACACTAAAGAACGTTCATGCTAAAAATAGAAGAAGGATGGCGCACATCTAGGATGATCAACTCTAATCCAATTCTACATGCAATCTGAGCACACATGGCAAGTTAAGCGATGCAGGTAAGTGGGGTACTTCGTTGTGTATGTATGCAAGCATGTACATAATCAAGATTCGTGACCAAGATCTTGAGGATCCAAGATATCCTGCCGAATGAAAATCTCCAAAGCATTGCATCAGCTTGTGCGGTGCAGCAACCTGCTGAGGAGGCGAATGAAGGATGAGGATGGGGATTGTGGTGGTGATGGGATGACAGTGGTCGTGCTGGTGGTGGTGATGCTGCTGCTGCTACTGATGATGATGATGGTCCGGGTCGCCCGCCGTCTTCCGCATGTTTGTAACACTCGTAAGCTGCGGAACATTTGTTAACAGGTTACGAATCTTCGGGGGTGTGCTTTTCATTCGGATTGCTGCCAAATATCTGCAGTACCCGCTTTGCGGCAACCGAGTTTCCGCATTGAACCAGGCCCAGCTAGGGTTCTCTTTCGGGGTGTTACATGGTGTTAAACAGCTGCAGGGCTTGAGGGAGAGGTTTACACAAGGGTTGGTTGTATAGGAAGTGAAGTAGGCTTTTTTGAGGGGGGTTCAGGGTTTGAAGGGTAGCCGTAGTAGGAGTGCGACTAGGGATTTTTAGGGTCACTCTGGCTGCTACAATTATTAAAGGAACACTACTCAGACGACTCACTATAGTCGTTGTAGGGGCAACAGTCACATTCAATTGGCATTGCCGCTATCCTACAACAAAGGGAACCCAGAAGCCTGTGTTGCTCAAACTAGATATGTAACACCACTCCGAGTTAATGTGCTTGGAGCCCAACAAATCTTCTGTAGCAACCATTCGCAAGGTTTGCTATTAATAGCCTGTTTGTCTAGAACACCACCAGTCTACAACCACATTGTGGTATGAAAGAGGTTCAAAGGTCCGTGGGTGACTTGGACATCGACTTGGCTAACGGGGACCTAAAGAGCTGACAGCCAACGGGTTCAACTTCGAAATGGAGTGCTGTTAATCTTGGGGCAGTAGCTATTCCAGTAATAAACCGAATCTCAGGGTTTGGGGTTCTGGTCCAAACCCTTCTGCTGCAGACTCAAAACCAGCCTATCCTGTCCAACACTACGCTGATGGACTGATGGACCCTCTAGAACTCTTAATCTTAGTGTGCCTGGATCGACTTCGAGGTGTCCAGCTACATAACTCGAGAGAAATTAACCCAACCAAACCCTCTTCTGTAAACCAGGAACTATATACGGGGCAATGCTAGATGCATACGCGGTGAGACTGAGATGTACATACGTCTGCCTTCTGCTCTAGATTCATCTGCTGTGGTTTAGAGTACAATAATGGGCTTAATTGGTTTTCGTAGATTAATCGGTTTTCGTAGATGTAGCAAACCGTCTAGGATAATTGGGGACCCCGAATTGCAACCTCTGTAGTGCTTGCATGATCTATAATCTATATTTGGTTTTATACGTCTCCCTATATTCTAAGCAGATAGTCTAAGCTAGTCTCATAAAACTGGACCTCCCGCCGAGGACAGCGCTTCTCATCGCCCTCGCATCTTGCCACGGAGCTGCCTGGCTCCTTGAACAGCCAGCTCAGTCTATCATGGCAGCTCACCCCAGGATGCGGTGGTTGTTTCGAACTGTTGGTCGGGACACTTGTCTTTGATGGTTTCTTTTCTCCCTGGTCGGTGCTACAACCATGGTCTCACCTCTCACCCACAAGACATGTACACTTGTCGTATAAGGTATGGAGAGTTCGATGGTGGATGGGATGCTATGGTGCTAAGACCCCGAAAAGGCATGTGGGTTTTTCGAACGCCAAAATCGTCGGGAAGCTCGACAAGGGTGCACTCTCCCGGCGAAAGATGAGGGCTATGAGAGCGAGCACGGCTACATCAAGGGTCTACATTAACAGCAAAGGTATTCGATGCTGGAATGGTACGAAACAGCTAGCTCAAGCTCACACAGCTCATGCCTCAGTACAGATGAGTTCGTGTAGGTATCCAATACACTGTACGTAGAGCTGGAAGCCATTGTTTGGGACATTGATGTTGAACTGTTCAAGGCACTACCCTCCCAAGTTTGGAGTCAAGCTGTTGCAGATGTTTCCGGACTTCCTGAATGAGCGGCATCACCCAGCCAAAATGCCGCCTGAGTACAGGCATTCATGCCCACTTGCGACCTTTCGTGATACAGCCTGGGGGGATGTGTGGGATGATGCGCGCATGAAGGACGTAGTTGCTTACTTATTGGGCAACAAACACCTAGCCTTGCCTGCGGCCTGGAGAGACCTGTTCCAGGATTTTGCGTGAACTCCCGACTGCCATCGCCAAAGTTCGAGCCCGCAGAACAAAGTCGGGGGAGCTAACATACGTAGATAAGATAAATTTCATGTGTTGGTGGGAAGTTTGGGGCTCTTCCTTTTCGGTCCTGGTGAGGTTATACAGGCGGGAGCCTCTGAGACCCCGATTCAGGGTGGGTTCCAGGGCCTGGGGTGCAGGCGACTTATACTGTAAGTACAATTTAAAGGGGCACCCCGAACCCTCAACCTGTGAAAGCCTATCCCCTTCCCTAGTTCCCTCGAAGTAGTATACACAGGAAGAGAAGGAGTTCTGGATGGGTATTACAGACCTGTCGTTTGTTGACCAAAATAGAAGGGATTGGGGGTGTCTTTGTTTCCCAACTTAAATTCTTAGACGATCAACATAGAATTCTCACTTGGATACCCCAAGTGGACCAAGTACGTAATTTCTACGTAGGCTCTACGTAGGCAGGGGCCCCACCAACCCGTACCCGTAGAACGGCCGTAATTATCCGTAGAACGGCCGTAAACACCCGTAGGAAATTACGTAGAGGATCCGTAGTTTGAGTGGTTTTCAGCCACCACCAAAATAGCCGAGATCTTGTGCACTATGGTAGACTTTTGCATCGAGCAACTTAGATCCACAGGAACCTATATCAAGCATCCTGGCGGTATGTCAGAAACACTGGGTTTGTGGTGCAGCAAACGCATGCATCGTGGCCTTCGGTCCTCGTGCTGCTCCTTCCCTGCATCAGATCAGCCGAAGGTCCTGGTAGGAAAGGTTGCTCGTTTAGCAGCATGGGTAAGAAGCCGGTTCTTGAGCGTGCTCCGAACCGACAGTGGAGTTGCAACTCTCTCGCGGCAGCCAACAAGAGTATGCTTCGGGGAGTGAAGTCAGAACCGACTCAAGAGGAAGACCTGGATGCTGAGATTCAGGACTGTAACTAGAGCTGATGTTCTGTTCTTGACAATTGTACATCTCGAACCACACTGTCTACACTGTTTCAACTCTATAGGCTTCTCAGTTCGACATAGCTTGGGTTCTGTGACTCGCAGGAAGTCAAGAAGCAGCTCGCACTGCTGGAAAGAAAGCGCACCGCTAGTTTCTCTAAGCAGGACCATCCTCAACGTAATGTTGGTGCGCTGCTACCGCTGTTGTGGGACAACTTGACTGGTCTGTTAAATGCCAGCAACATCAGCGCAGGAAGATGCCACCTCGGAGGCGGCGACGCAGCCAGTGACCTGGATGCCAATATTGAGTTTCAGTCTTGTCTTCGTGCAAGAAGTTAGCTGTTCTGCGATTCATTCGTGGCAGTTGCTAAATATGTTGAAACCACAATCTGTCGGCAGGCTTCACCCGAAGAGCTTGCGAAGATGGGCCGGGCAACTGCAGTCAAGGCTAGGGCACCCAAGCCACCTGAAGCGAAGGAAGCACAAAACAAACGACAGCCACAGCAAGCAAAAACACTTTGCAGCCCACCTCCCAAAGCAGTCAAGCAAGAGGTTGCCACACCGGAGCAAAAACGAGTTGTTGAGTCCAGCCCAGACAAGAGTCAGGGTGACACCCCTCCCAAGGCTCCCCCCAGCAAGAAGGCCAAGGTCCCTCGTGTTGCAGAGGAGCAGGTCGACCCATGCGTTTCCAAGGCTCGGGAGGCAGGGCATCATGCTCTCTGAACTAAGTAGACTCACTAATAGTAGCTGGATTCTTGATGATTCTTGCAGTAGTATCGAACAATCTATCTTGCAACTCTGCAGGCTCTGAGGCTCGCAGAGGAACAGCTTGCTCGTGCAGAGAAAGCCAGTGCAGGCAAGAAGAACCGAGACAGCCAGCCAGCCCGGCCCTCGCCCAGCCCCGGCTCGGCCACCGCAACCCCAAAAAGCATCCCAGCACTGCCCACTCCGAGCTCAGCAAAGTCCAAGCGGGAGACCTCTGAGACCCCTTCCACGGCCAACAGCAAAACGCAAGCCAAAACCAAAGCCAAAGAAGTTGTCACCAAGGGGGACGACGACGACTCGGACGACGCAGATGATGACGAGGACGAGGCATTCTTAGCCCCGCCCTAAGAGCTTCCTTTCAAAGTACAAGTGTGTCTCGTTCTTGCCAGTTATAATTTCACTCCCGGGGGAATCTCTCAGAGCGTCGATCCACTCAGGCTGCAAAGGACCAGGTCCTTCGCAGACTGTGCGAGATGAAGCCGAGCGGCAAACTTAATGTGCCGTTGGAGGTGCATCAGCAGTGGATGCGAGGAGGAGCCGACAGGAAAGAGCTTTTCAGTCTGTTGAAAAGCTTGGATTACGACAAGGCGGGTTACTGCTTTAATGTGGCTGCATAAAACCATCTGTCTGCATGTCTTATCGTACCTGTGCACATGGCTGTGTTCCTCTGTGTATTCGACACCTATCCTGCGCCAGAAGAAGTTCAAAGCCACTGTCACGAGAATCAAAGAAACGCTCACGAGACAGAGTCGCCGCAGAAAGCGAGCCTGGCACACAAAGGAAAGCATGTCCAAGAAATTGGGTTGGTCCAAGACTCTCGCCTGAACGCACCTCTCACTAGTAGCACATACACACACTCACTAACCTGTTTTCTTCGATTCCCAATCTGTTCTAAGGTCATACATTGCCAGTGCCGTGGCTTTCTGTGAAAAGAAAGGCAACGAGAAGCTGATCAAGTCCCTGCCTTAGTGGGGTACTGTTCGCACCAGTGACAGCAATTTTTCCGCCGGCAAGCATGGATTGCGCGAGAGTCGAGCAGACACGTGCGTCTTTCTGTGTCTGTGTGTATGTGTGCTTGTGTGGTGTGAACAGCATTGACTTTTGCTTACTGCGTCCTCAATTCTCCCGTGTCAGAATGTGCTATTGCTGCGGAGAGCTTACCGTTGTACATGCATACGTAGTATTCTTGTTGCCACAGGAAGGACAAGTACAACAGCAAGATCATGAAGTACAAGGTAGACGTCGACTCTGAGTCCGAGGACTACGACCACGAGGAGGAGAAGGAGGAGGAACAGACAACGGGAACCGCAGCTTGGCTCATGCAAACACATACATTTCTGAACCGTTGCTGTTGCTTGCTTGGGTCACAACGTATGCATGTCCGGTACTGTGCTAGCTGATCTAGGGGTCCTCCGAGCTCAAGTTCAAGCGGCTGGGTGTCCAGCGGGTCGACAGCGAGGAGGATGACGAAGAGCCTGACAAAGGCAATGGAAAGGGCAAGGGCAAAGGTGCGGTGGAAATTACGGCCTTCAGACAGGATCCTGCAGGGTTTCATTGGGTAGCCAGCTTTTAATCATACATGCCGTGTGAACCATGGAAGTTACTTGTCTTAAATCTACATGACCAGGAGGAGAAAACCTTCAAGAAGTTTGCAGAGTCCTTGCTCACCCGGGCCTCGAAAGTGTCAGAGCTGCAAACTACTGTCGACTCCTACAAGGAAGGAAGCAACGATAACGAGAAGAAGAAAATCGAAAAGCTCTGCCCCTGCAGTTAACACTGTGTGCACTCATGTGTTCATTTGTGTTTGTGTTGTGTGCTCTGTTGTGTGCCAAGCTTGATACAGCTGCTCAGGTGCGAAAAATCCCTCGAACACGCAGTGGAGATCCTTCACAGTGAGTATGAAAAGGCGGAGGCCGTTCGAGCCGAGGTTCCTAGTCGCGATCTTTCCCCGACTGAGGAGAAGGAGTTGCATGTTTGCAAAGTATATACTGATGTGAAAGACATGGGCATGCACAGCAAAATCTTTTGCATGGCCTCGAGATCGTGCTTGTTCATGTTGTCCACACATCTTGCGCAGCCTAGGTTCCAAGCCAAGATGGCCAAGCAGACTCAGCTGTCTACGACGGTGTTTCTCGAATGCAAAACTTCTTGGTGCTTTCCCAGGAACTGTCACATCGTGCAGCCACAATTAATGCTTTTCCTATCGGGTATGCACTGTGCTATCCAAGGTGTACCAAGGTTACTACAGCAGAGTCTACGGCGAAGAAACCCAGTTGCAAGCAGCTCTTTCATGGGGCCCACAAGACCTTGTTTGTTTCGCCGTTGAGCTGTCTGCCAAGGACCCTTCTGAGATCCCTCAAGTCGTTGTATGGGTGATCCTCTTCTGGGGAGTACCAATGTGCAGGGGTTGCGGGGAAGCGATCTCACGCAAAGATTGGCTGAGAACACCAGCTCATCGTTGGTGCTACAAGGGTTTACCGGGCACATATGTAAGCTACACTGCCTCCTCGTGTTGTAGCTGATGCTTGCCAGCAACATAAAGGATTGTACTATAGGGTGGTCTCTGTCATCCTTCAGCCCCATCTAGTCTAGAGGATCCCGAGGTACTGAACCGATGGGAATATCTTAGACTAGCCTCAAGCTGGCTTCTTGGTAGCAGTGTGCACATATTGGCCCGGAGCAGCAGCGCCGCTGCTCGCAAGTTCCCAGGGGTCTTCTCTAGAAGCTTGGTTTCTCGCTGCGATCGAAAGCACTGCTTGTCGCGAGGGCACGAAAAGATAGGCTGAGTGATGCCCCGTTCGAATGCACAAAAAACTGCAGGTAGATGTCAACTTAACACAAAAGCCAAACTATGTAATTCTTAATTGCCAGATTAGTTGAACATCAGAACCTGTGTCCTTGTTCTCTCTTAGATAGTACGTACTTAATTATTCTCTCCGAAGAAACCCAGCTTGCCCCGATCACAAAAGCCGAAATATATAACTCCAACAGCAGACATCAGTCACTGCGTGCCAGGTTGGGACCCAGGTGCTGTGGTTCGGAAGCTGGCGAAGCAGGTGGCTCGAGGAGCTTCAGCCTCAGGATCCATGTGGGCACTCAGTGATTCTCCATTCTTCAGCTGCTGTGGGCATGACAATCAGAGGCAACTGTGCGCAGCTGTAACTGTTCAGACTTTACAGCACAGTAAGCACACTGTGTTCCAGTTCGTACATAGCTGCTGCTGCAATCCGAGATAACTGTCGTGACCAATGCTTTTTTTTGAAGGTCCCATGTGTCCGATCCTCCTAGAAAGCAACTTCACTAAGTACATTTGATTACATTTGCGAACTTCGCACAACCACAATGTTCTAGGGATCTGTGCTGCTACCAGGGTAGGTTACCTTGTGATTGACAAGCAATGGCCTACTCTCGTGGCCAGACACTGGAAGACTTTTTGGATTTGATCACGTACGAGGATCCTACTGGTAAAAAGCGCTGTGCTGCTGAAGCCTCACTGATTGGGAGTCAGGAAGATTTGTATTCGTGCAAGACACTCGCAAGCCATTGTAATGCGTGCTTCTCTCTTTGCCAATACAATAAATTGTTTATTGGCCCAGAAAACAGAACCGAAACCCACAAAGTGTCAGCATTGTCTATCCCAGGAGTTTGTGCGCTGAGTCCTGGAATCACCCAGTGCCTGTGGCCCCGACGGCTTCAAGGGATCGATGCGACAGTGAAGACCAGGTGCCAGCAACTGGGCAGCGGCGAGTTTCGGTTGCTGTTTGGTACCAAGACTGTGTTCTGTGTGCCCCGGAATCTTCCGCAGAATCAACTCTACAGTCCTAGACAGCTACATGTCGGGTGGGTCATTAGATCTACCCTGCTCTGGCACTGGACATCTTAGGCTGATGCTACAATAGCAGCCCTGGAGAAAATCGCTGCTAGTGCTGATCCGGCTTCGATTCCATGGGAGCAGGTTTACAAGTTCGGGTTGTACAAACACCTGATGCCTTTGCGACCCAGCGCCCCCTGCAGTGGACGAATACTGTCCCACTGTGTGCAACGAGTTATGTCTTTCCGAGAGCAGATGAACATCAGTCTTTGTGTGTTTAAAGTAGGGGTAACCTCTAACCCGGTTGTCCGCTATGTGGATTATAAGCGAAAGAACTTCACAGCTATGTGGGTTATCTTTTGTGGATCTAATGTGGCAGAAATCCATATGCTGGAAGCAGCTCTCGTCAGCCTGTTTCATTCTTGCTCCGGGTGTCAAAATACACCTGGAAGTGGAGGAGAAGGTGCCTTGAACAGGGTATCCACTGTGCCCCCATACTATGCATACGTAACTGGGGGTCGAGCTGATCAACGCTGTAGAGTAGGATAGCACCAGTTTGCAAGCATCGAAAATTCAGTTTCGCTGTTCACAAAACAGCTTTTTGGCATTCGTGCCATATTGGGGCTTGATCATCGTTGAAAACGAAAAGTCCTCACTGCTCTCTGCGAAGTGCTGCAAGTGTTGCATACATGTCCTGCCCCAGCCTGATACATGTTCCGGCTTGCCAAGGCCCCCTGCAGCCACGCTGTGGAGATGGCCAAGGCCGCTGTTGAGGACTCACCGAATGATATAAATTCTATGCCGCCTGCTTTGATAGAGTTTGCAAAGATCCGTGAGAAAGATGCGGAGGAGGCTTGTCACAAACTGTTTAAGAAGTACCGTTTGACGGTGCCTGTTGCGATAGATACCATCGATGCTGGAAATGCAGGGGAGCTGAAAAAGCTGCCTGTGGTGAAGTTTTCATCATGGGCGAAATACCTTTTGGATTGCGACAAGCTTGAGCAACTGGTTGGTGTTCCAGAGAATGAAATGGAGCCAATGCTAGAAGAGTTTTGGCAGCGCTACAAGGTGCTCTACCCGGAGCACCAGCTGTTTGTTTTGGCAGAAAACGAGAGTTTGCAGTTGCGGCGAACAGTGCCCGTTTTTGCACACGTGGATGAAGGGAGGACATACAAGAGCAAAGCATTGCTCATATTGTCTGTGCATGGTTGCCTTGGAAAAGGAACACGTAGCTATGCCACAAGATATGTTCGCAAACCTCACATCAAACAGGACCCCATGGGCATGAACTATATTGGTTCAACTTGGAAGACACATTTTACTTTTGGCAGCCTTTTGCGCAGCCTCATCAACGAGGATTCTTCATGCCTGGACAAGCTGATGGCTGCTTTTGGGTCTGACATGACCGATCTGGCCACGCAGGGTGTTACAAGTGAGAATGGAGAGAAGCGGCTCTGGATCCAAATTTTGGGGGTGAAGGGGGATTTGCCTGCCCTGGGAAAGATTGGTAACTTCGTGCGCAACTACAGCAGGGTGCCGAAGAAGCCGCAGTCAGTGAACCCATGCTTGGGTATATGCTGGCTTTGCAGAGCTGGCCAGGAGCATCCTGTTCACATTCCTTTCGAGGATGCCAGGCCGGGGGCGGACTGGACAAAGACACTTTTTGAAGACCGGCCATGGAGTGTGGAGCCGCCAGTCCTGGCGGCGATTCCGGGCTTGCCAGACAAGCCCGAAGCATTCTTTATGACAGATTTCTGGCACAATTTTCACAATGGTGTGGCTAAGTTTTGGGTGGCCAATGCACTGGTCACTTTCGTCTTTGAAGAGGGCATGATCCCAAGACGGTCGATCGAGAAGAAGCTGGAGTGGATTTCAGCTGATTTTCTGAGCTACTGCGAGCGAGTCAAGATGACACCGTTTCTCAAAGAGTTTACGCGAGACAACCTCAGCCTGGAATCTTTCAGGTCGTATCCGCAGGGCTTGTGGAGCAAAGCAGAGGTGTCCACCCAAACAATGCTCTACGTGCAGGACTTTTGCGAGAGATTCGTTGATGAAAGAACAACGGATAAAATCCTTTCGGGAATCGCTTCTTAAACTGCAATCATACAAATCTTGTTTAGCAGGGATCCTAAAGTTCCAAAGCAAATTGGTTTTCACGTAGGGAACACAAACACTTTAGCAGCTTGTGTTGCACCCTACAGTTTGTTGCGAAACAAAGGCGAGGGGCACCCGCTTCATGAATGTGTTCATAGCCGTGCTCTATGCCGAGGGCTTCTGGGTGCCTTCGCTACGGGGGAAGCGACTGGGGATGATGCTGCAGTCGTTCCTTTTGATCTACCAGGACTGTGCTTCCGAAGCTGTCAAAAGAGGCATCAACAGATTTCCGCTGGTCCCGAAAAGCCACATGCTGGCACACTGTGCATTTCAGATGATAGAGGAGGCTGCCAAGGGCAGCTGGATTCAGAATCCTATCAGCACTGCTAACCAGCAGCAGGAAGACTACATTGGAAAGCCCTGTCGTTTATCGCGCAGGGTGCATGTGCTCAAGATTCACCTGCGAGTTTTACAGAGAAGCCTGCTAGCAAGCCATCAGGCAGCTGAGGATGTGTAAAGTGCTGGGTCAGCATCATGAGCAACTGTACGTACAGTTCTACGTAGCTTGCTCCTTTCATAATCATTCGTACATACACATCGTTGGGCCTCTACTCACTTAACTGGCACCATAGGTTAGAACAAATGGTTCATGAACAGAGCCCGAACTCTCAAAGTCTGAATCAAAGCCCACAAAACATAATTCCCCCCAATTTGTCCATGCCCCCTAGTTTTCACGTTCGTCACAAATTAGGGGCACGTATCCGTGGGTTTCCACCTGTCCATTCGGTACACGATTGTGAGAAAGTATGCCTATATATGTATCGGCCAGACATTTTGAGTGATATCCCAAATCTAGTTTCCGTATTCATGCATGTGTGTCTGCATAATGTGTATCCACATGCAGCTGTGCTGCACATCTGTTGCAGGCATGGTCGTGCAGGAACGTTTCTTTGCACAGTCACACCATTGCTTGCACGCATGTGTCTATGGGTTTACTTGGGCGAGCAGGTTTGCATCGAGGAACAGATTTGTTCGTGTGTTAATCCACAAGTACACCTCAGCACACGGCACACATGCTCACACGGTGCAATATGTTTGTGAGCATGTCTGAAGAATGCATACGTATATGCA